AGTCGAGAGGCAGAGGTCGAGTTCGAACCACGGACCTTCCGGTCAGTAAATTCGCGCTCTTAATCACTTGGACCAGCTCGCCCCCAGTATGTCATCCCTTGTGTTTTTTTCGAGTTATAAGGTTGCTACGCGCTGAAAAGGTACAAAGGTCGGTGATTATCGCAATTAGTATCATTATTGCTATAGGCGTTCGTTTCTTTGTTTTTAGAAGTTTTTAAACACTCATCTCTGCTCAGTCGTTACAGAACCGCTGACCCTAACAACCCCCGAATCCCTATCAGTCTTGGCTAGAAGGAGGATGTTTAGATCGGGTAGTTTCTTCACAAGCATTCCAAATTTGAATGAAACAGTGAATCGCCATTGGACAAAGGACCGACTTGACTTGGTTTTTGAAGTTGAGTATCGGATTCTGAAAACGGGAAGTTGCTGCTAGGGACTTTTGAGGTACAATTTAATACTGATCCTGCTGGGTTTTTATCGTCCGTTCAGCTGTAGCACCCTTCCGGTGCCTAGCTGCCATGCTACCCGAAGGAAGCACGAGGGCTGGAATACTGCCAGGTCGCCCAAGCCTAGGCAGGGTAAGTCGAGAGGCGGAGGTGGGGTTCGAACCACGAATCTTCCGGTCAATAAATTCGCTCTCTAACCACTGAGCCACCTCGCTATGAGCTATGAGATCGCCATGAGCTATATCCCATGGCCCCAGTGACAAGACTTCAACTGGACGTGCAAAGATCATTGACGTATTTTTTCCGAACTATCTTCGAACTTGGCCCCGTCAGATCCAAGCCATTTAGTAGCTTGCCTCTATCCCAGTTCTACTCTTTTTTGGCCACCTGTTGTACGGGCTGCCCCAAGCATATCCCCTCAGCTATTGACAGTGCGTCAACTGCCGTGGTCCATAGAACTCGTTGCTGCAGGAGTTCTACCACCTAAGACGACGAAGATTCCGCCTCATTTATGAATGTCAAGTGGTGCTACAATGCTGGGTGGGATCAAACCCAGACCTCATGCTTGCAGACGAGCCCATCGACGTGGTTAATAAATTTGTTTACATGGGCAGCTGTATAAGTTCCGGTAGACTGGCTGGAGATGAGATTATTCCTCGAATCGCGAAGACCAGGACAGCTTTCGTCAACCTTCGACACCTACGGCGCCTACGTGACGTCAGTCATTCTGTGAATGACACATCTTACACTACCGTGGTGCGAAACATTTTATGGATCGGGGACATGGCCACTGTGTGCAGAGGACGTACGAAAGATGTCTGTTTGACCGTCGGTGTCTTCGAAGCATTGGTCGGGTGGGGTGGAACATCGGATTAGCAATGCCGAGGTACGCCTGATGGTCTTAGGAGGAAAGAACTGAATTACTCACGCCTCGTAGGTTACACTGATTGGGAAATGTGCTCCTCATGCCAGAAGACCATCTGCCTCACTGCAGTTTTCGTCAAGCCCTGTTGCTGAGTAGGAGCTACCGAGAAGTGGACAGTGTATAATCTTGCAACGAAGTATGAAAACACTAACCAATAAACTTAGCTGGGTCAACAACTGCTGCCCCTCCGCATGGGGACCCCGGAACTCAACTCATCAATGGTCAATGACACTGACATAAGTGGCACAATCGCGCAGTCAGTGGCGCTTATGTATCAATGTATAGCTGCGCGATTCCAGAACTTACTGAAGATGCAGTATCTTCCGCCCTCTCATCATCATCATCATCATCATCATCATCATCATCATC